AACATGGCTCGTGCCTTATTCATATCGAGGCTGGCGAGATCTCCAAGTTGCTTCTCAAGTAAAGGCGCATTCCCGGCTGAACAAACACGCATAATGGTTAAACGAATAAGCAGACGTGGCAAACTACATGTAGTAAGGACCTTGTTTCACTCTGCTACTGGCACCAACTTTATCGTTATGTATTTTGTTAGATCAAATTTTTTTGGGAGACTGACAGTCCGATTCGCCTAGTGCCTGCATATGTGCGAGATTTTTTCGTGACAGCACTGTTACAACGCGTATAATAATTTATTCTTCAGAGTCGCTAATTACTTGCAGTGACGAGTTTTTTGGCAGATCGAGAATAGATTCCTGGCAGCCCTGATAACCACTGAGGAAGTCAGATTCGCTTGAATTGGAAAATCTCATCTTTTCACCTTGCATCTTCACTGTGAAGTAGACGCTTTCTTCATCCTGAAATAGCGTAAACTATTGTTTGTATTGTTAGCCGAGATTCCTCTCAGAATATCGTTAATGCAGTGAGCTACTCTATCGAACAAAAATATATTCATTTTACCGAATCCCTATCGATGCGAACATTCCACCTTCCGTTCGTATTATCAGCATCAGTCACATAATATGTTGCGACTTTATCTCCAGGACCCTGGAAAAGACACTTGTACAGTTATGAGATCATGCCACATCTCAGAGAATGCAGTACAGTTTAGGCAGCCCACCAACTGTTTGCCAGGAACACGTTTTTTGAGCCTCTTCTGAATTTCAGGCGGAAGGTCGCTGACGTCTTCAAATCGGATGCCGGAAGCCCTGCATTCACTTGCTACAGATTGGATTACGCAGAGCAGAACGGCGAGCACGGTCAGCTTCATTGTCAAAAGCTCTTTCGACAAGGTTGAAGCAAAGGTCTGGATACGAGCTTGGAAGCACTCCACTCAATGGCTCCACGCATGTGCGGCCTTTTAAACTCATAGAAACTATAGAATACAGCTGGCCAAATGACGGTACTGAAGGTACGATGGCACCAAAATCTGAGCAAACGTTGCCAGTCAGCCACACCTGGAGACACAGTAAATTTTTTTACATCGGGCTCGTGCTCTCCAATCACTGAGGACTGGGAAGAAATTACAAATAATAAAGTGCTATTTCAGTACAGCAGAGTACTCTATAGTGATGGGATCAAGAGGTCACACATGCGTGGGTTCAGTTAATCTAAGTGATATCAAGCTCGTATCCAGCCCTATGCTCATTTTTGCCGAAGCAACTCCAACCAGCCATGAAGTTGAGCGCGCCAGCCGTTTCTCTTCGCGTGATGCTTCAAATGCAGGGCTGCCGACTTTCGAATCCAAGACGCTGACATATTTCCGAAGGATGTTCATTATGTCGGAATGAGTCCTTCCGGCTGGTTGTTTCGAAACACTGTACCTCCCTGACATGAGACCCAGACTCACCCTGTACAACTATTTCCTCAGTTCGAAAATACAGTCATAACATTTGACCGACAAAAAAAATCAAACCGTAGTAAAACATGGAATCACGTGACGTGGTACTATAAACAAGCTCATGTGCGGCAGAAAGCTGCACTGTGAGAGTAGAGCCAGACATCTCTTGAAATGAATCTTGGAAACGTGAAGACATTGTGCAAATCCGCTTTAGGTATTTCGAAAAAGTTCGTGTCCAATGCGCCAGGGTACAGAACCGTTGTGCGAAACCCAAGGGGTCCTACAAGGCCCCTGAGGAGGGCGGTGGTCGGGGTAGTAAACAAGGTCAATGAGCAACAAACACTGCAACAGTGTTATGGCTATGTTTTCGCTGAGCAAAAGCAGTGCTGTAAAGGACTCGGATGTGTGGGAGACAACAAAATATATGAAGTTAGTAGTTTCGTAGTATAGTTTTTAGTGGTTTCGTGGTTCGTTTTCGTAATTCTTAATCCCACTTTATGAAAGGTTGTGTATGGAAGAAAAATCGCCATTCGAAGAATAAAAACTTGGGGAGAGACTCAGGGAAATGGTGGTCAGAAGACGCAGCAATGGACATATAGATTTGACCTTGCTTTCACATTCGTTTTCTCGTTTTCTACAGCTCCATCAGCGGCTCCGACTTATGTCATAGAAATTGCTCAAAGTTTTCTTAACGGAAGGAGCCTTCAGCGG